CCTGAGATCAAAATATCATCAGTATATATACTGATGATATTTTAATCTCAGGAACAACATGCGAACTCCTGGTATTCCTTCAAAAATTTTATTTGTTGCTTTTTGAAATATTTCTGGAGTCAAGGAAATGCTGAAAGGCATTTGTAAAAAACAGTTTTTCTGTGAGGGAAATCTGGTAGAAGTCTCTACTTGTATTCAATTTGGAAAACTATTGGGCTCCTGCCACATCAGCAATGGGCAATGGAAAATATTCCCACTTAATATTTTCATTCAAATGCTTCAGGTCCAGACATATTCTTAGGCTGCCATCAGGTTTTGTGACTATGACTAGTGAGCTTACCTAGTCAGTTTGTTCATTTATTTTTATCACGCCCTCTTGTTCCTTTCCACCCAATTCTGTTTTTAACTTTTCTTGCAAAGACAGTGGAACCAGACGAGGTGATTCAGTTACTGGCACAGAATTCTCCTTCAATTTTATGTTGTACTTTTACTCTAGTCTCCTTGGAAAAGATCTTTAAATTCATCCCAAAAGCCTAATGTTTTCTTTGTCATCATTTGCTCTGATGCCTTCCACTCTTTTAATAAACCCCAAGGTTTCTGATGCCTCTGTTCCCAGAACAGGTTGGTAATTATCTTTTAACAACAATAAATGGTATTTTCTGTTGTATTTTCTCCGTGGACACTCACAACTGACACATTCCTCTTGTTGGTATGAGACTTCCTTGATATGTACGAAGCTTAATCTTACATCTTTTTAATGAAGGTTTTTTATTCAATTGTTTATACATGTTATAACTAATTAGATTTACTCCAGCTCCATTATCAATTTTAAAACGTTCTACTTGGTCCTCCAATTGTAAAGTAGCATACCATCAGCCAGTATACTGCTTAAACGTGCTGATTGTGGATATTGTATATTCTTCACTCATACTCTGCTTCTCAATGTGTACTTCCTGCACATTCTGTTTAAATTTGAATTTGCATCAACTGGCAAAATGGTTTTTCTTTCCACAATTTTTACATTTTTCTCCTATTGCTGGATAACAGTTTATATAAGCTTTCTACATCACATGCATTTCTCTTTTAATAACTGTTTATGGTAGGCAGCATGATCCTTGATATCATGTTCTTTTTGTGGTAATTCTGCCTATTGGAGATAAAGCCAACATATGCTTGACCAGAGAAGGTTTTCATTTGCTTGAGTAGCTTCTGCCGACTGACAAATACTTGCAGCTTTTTCTAATGTCAGATCTGTTTCACAAAGCAATTTCTCCCGTATAGAGTGATCTTAAATTCCATAAATAATTTGGTCATGTATCATAGAGTCTTGAAGATCTCCAAAATTACACAACTGTGATTTTACTTTTAACTGTCTAATACTGTATTATGAGGTGAATGGTGATGTGTTCCAAGTCATCCAAAAATTTGTACAGTAACTTATTTTCAATAAACACATGTTAACTGTAAGTTATAGTATTACTAAAAAATACTGTATAATACAGTATTAAATCATTTATTTTAATACATAAATACTGTAAATAATGTACAGTACTGTAATACTGTAACTCTAAAACATTCATTAATTGTAAATTGTTTAGGTCCAAATGCTTTTATTCATAGATAATCTCTCTTTCTTCTTTACAACTAGTAGCCATGTGGGGGCAGATTAAATGAAGGTTTTAAAAACTAACAACTAATATTTCTCACACAGGTATTTCTCCTATCATATTCTGTAGATAGGGTATTTATACTTCGATTCCTGATCTCTCTGTGGTATTCTGTTTCAGTATTTGGGTTGTCAGGAGGAAACAAGTCCGAGAAGATGCATTTGTAAGTTTCTTCTGGAGTGATTGTGAAGTTGTGGTCGTCTGTGATAGTAACTGGAGTTGTGAGCGGCTTTCTATTTTTTATAGCTGTATAGTATGGGATTGACCAAGGTCCCCGTTCATTGGAGGCAGTGCAGAAGTTCTGGCATAACTTTTTTCTTGTGCGGTTGATTAAAGTTTTGTATTCTCTGAAGTACCTTTGATAGGTTTGATGAAGATTTTGCTTATTGATAGGATCTGTTTCTCTCTTGTACCTATGTTTTGCTATTCGCACTTTTTTTCTGTGGGCTTCAAGATCTCTGTTCCACCAGGGTGCAGATGGCTTGCTAGTTTTAATTCTAGTAGCCTTATAATAGGCCGTATGGAGATCGTTCCGAAGTTGTTCGACAGCATAGTAGATTTCTTGAGGATGTTCCAGTGAGGTCAGTCCTGTGGGATCCCAGTATGCTTTGATGTATTCTTGAAAGAGGTCCCAATTTGTGATGTTTTGTATTATAAGGTTATCTGGGCATTTTATACTAGAGATCTTGGTAATGATGTAAGCGTGGTCACTGGCAGATATGTGCTCTTGAGTCTGGCAGCTGATGTTGAATTCTTGTAGTTTGGTATTACCCAGACACAAATCAATCCAGCTGTTCCCATTGTTACTTGAGAAGGTTGGCAGGTGGCTGGTGAGAGTTATCCATGATGTTTTCCATGTTGGGAGCCATTATTCATATCTTGTTGTCTGTATCTGACTAGCTTTGTACCTTTTGAGCATGATACAACCTTTGTCAAGTGCGTTGTGATCAGTACGGACCGCCGTGTTCTTTGGCAGAGTTTTGTTGAATTGTTTACAGTTGTAATATGTGGGGTCCCATTGGAGATTTGGACAGTCTTTAAATTTGTGTCTCTTCATGCAGTGGGAACATCATTGTTTTTCAGTACACCTATATGAGGTGTGTACGAACCCTGTACAGTTATAACAACAGATTGTTGCAATATAATCGTCTAGCCGGATTGAGCTCCAGTCTATGTAGAATTTTTGTTGTTTCATAAGGGCGTTCCTGATACTTGGCGAGACACTAAGTATGACATGTTTTGAGTGACTGATTCCCCTGGGATAGAAACTGTGACTTATTTTGGTGCTGTTACTGAACTCTTCTTCAGTAAGTAGCTCTTGTGAATGGTTATTTTGATGGTAGATGTTGCATACTAGGTCTTCTTGTCGTATGTTATCAGGGACATTATACAGAATAACCTTTGGAGGTTTTTGATTTTTTTCTATTACTCTTATTTTCTCTGTTAATGCTTCGTGAGTTTGCATGGCCTTTTTTAATGTTTGGAGGTCGGTTTCCTCATGAACTTGTATTTTGATGTCCCTGCTGGGAAGGGGTCTGACAGCCTTAATTTTAATCCCAAGCCTCTTTGGATCCACATGGGTCTGTAAAAGTCCCATAGTCTCCTCCGGGGTTGGAGCTGGGTGATCCGGTTTCTTGATTGGTGATATAATAATATCATGTTTCTCGTTCTTTGGGTTGTACACACCATCCAGTTTGGCCGATTTTTCATATATCAGCTTGGTAGTTTGACTCATAGGCTTGAGGTTCCTTTTAACTATTTCTGAGTAGGTTTCCCTGTTTGGTTGAGTGCCAGTGGCTTCCAGAACCTTTACTCTTTCTCTTAGGGCCAGCACAACCCCAAAAATTTGGTTGGCTGCAGCATGCATTTTAACAGCAGCCTCCCTTGCCTGAGTGTGCCCTTTTGTTTTGACAGAGACGTTGGAGTTGGTAGGGATACTTGTTAGGATTATATCCAGATTCTCATTAATTGCAGATATTAAGTTTTCCTCTATGAAGCTATTGTTGAGTGAATTATTAGTTTCCTTGACGGTCATGATGTCCGGATGCTGAGTAGTTACTTCAATGAGGCAGAACTGGAGACTTGTTCAGTCTAACTGAACAAGTGTGTTGCAAGTAACCAAGCTGAAAGGCTAGCTGAATGGCTGAGGGGAAAATGCTTTATACTGAGCAGGCTTTTACCAGTACTTGACGTGGGGTGACTAATAAGAGTCTTCCACAGAGCAGTGAACAATGGGAAGAACCAAGTGCCCCTTTAGAGAGCCAAAACACGATAACGCTGAAAGGCGTGGTTCACACCGACTGGTTAAATTGAAGAGATACGTGAACTGTACACAGACAGTGAACGCCCTGGAGAGAGAACCGATATTGCACGAAACTATAACTAGTACCTTACCAGAAAGGCTGAAACAGTAATTGACACGACCGAGTTGAGCCGCCTGCAGATTGGCTAATGCATGCTTAGTGGCTAGGCAACCACGTGGTGAAGTACTTGTCCTTTGTTAACGGTACTTTTTTTCGAATCGCAATATCGCGACTAATAATTAGTATATATTAATCAACTTTGTAGAGTACATTATGGACATGCCAGAAAATATAAAACCGTCAAATGTTCGGAAAAACACAATAGGCGATCTGCAGTGGGCGATCAAAGTTCGGCAGATTCAGACGAGGATGACTTCTGATGGAGTGAAACGATTTCAATAAAATGAGACTCACGGATAGTATGGTGATTCCCGATTCAAACGATGTATAACACTTCACGGCAAAATCCAAAAATTCAACTGTATCTCGATCCAAGGTTAGAGCAGTGTAAACGGGACAGTTTGGACAGCTATTCAGACAGCAGAATGAGCTTACACAAACACTGTTCTTTGAACCACATTGTCAACATGGAGTTGCATTCAACAAATTAACTTGAGTAATTTGACTTGTTTTAGTTAACCTGAATATTAGTAGAGGTAATCTACATGAAATCTGTTGTTGAATCTTGATCACGGGCATGCATATACACTAAGCTTTCAAAGCCATTTTTCTTGGAAACAAAGCTTTGTATGAAAAAATTTTATTTTATATTTTTGATTTGGTATGTCTTGTAGAATCACACCTTCCTGCTTGTACCAGCAGGTACAATACATATCCTATATAACTTTTGATATGTAATTTTAATTTATATGAAATAACAAGAAAATGAAATGAATAATAATGAAAATTTATTATAATGAAAATAATTATTAATATAATTACAATACTATAATGAAAATTTAACAATATTTTAAAATTAATAATAATAATATCAATAATATATATATATATATATTTTTTTTTTGAATAGTTCCTCTTGTTAATCAGCAAGCTGAAGTTATAAGAAAACACATAGATCTTAATGTAGGTGAATATTTTGGAGAGAAAGATATAGATTTTAGTAAAGATCAATGGTCACAAGAATTTGAAAAAAATAATATACTTGTCATGGTAGCTGAAGTATTTAGACTAATAATACAGCATGCTTTATTAGCAATGAGCAAGATTAATCTGATTGTAATTGATGAGTGTCACAGAGCTGTGAAGAATCATCCATACAGGGAAGCACTGAAATGTTTGGATGTTTGTGATCCTCGTAATCGACCTCGTATTCTTGGACTAACAGCTCCTCTTATAAATGGCAAATGTAAGCCATATCAGTTAGAAGGAAGAATTGAAAATTTAGAAAGAACTATGTTTAGCTCTGTAGCTACTCCTGAAGATATTTTATCATTAAAAGAATTTGGAACTGATCCAATTGAAATTATAAAAGAGTATCAATATTTTCGAAGTCCTTATGAAATATTTAATGAAATAGTTAAGATTTTGAATTGTATTATTGTTCAGTTTTCTAAACACACTAATAATGATCTATTAGATGAAGATACAACATTTTTCACACAGCCAAGAAAAGCTGTTTCCAGTATAGCTGCTGTTTTTTCATCATTAGGTCTTTGGTGTGGCTTATGTTCTACTGAAATTATACTTTCTGAAGTCCAAAAACTTTTAAAAAAAAATTTAAATAATCAAAATGAACTAATTAAAGTAGAAAATGTATTATTACATGTGAATAGAAAATGTAATGAAGCAATGCAAGAAAATAATTTGGAAAACCTTTATTGCTGTGTTTCACCACAACTTTTGTTACTTATTCAAATTTTAGAAGAAACTGCAAAATGTTATGACTCATCTATCAATGGGCAAGAGCATAATTTAAAAGAACAATATGCTTTTAGTGGAATTATATTTGTAAAACAACGCATATTTGCATATACAATATGTGAGTGGCTTAAAGAAGTAAGCAAGAATGATCCAAAATATTCATTTATAAAACCAAATTATATTGTTGGACATGGCATACAACAAAGAATGCATTTCTCAGTAGCTAGCTCAATGTCATATAAAAAGCAACAAGCTACAATAAAAGATTTTCGACAGAAGAATTTTAATTTTCTAGTAGCTACTTCTGTTATTGAAGAAGGGTTGGATATTCCCAAATGTAACTTAGTAATACGTTTTGATTTACCTGAAGATTTTCGGGCTTATGTTCAAAGTAAAGGACGAGCCAGAGCTAAGGAAGCCAAGTATATCTTAATGACATCATGTGATGAGAAAGAAAAGCTCTTGAATAATTTGAAAGATTTCAAATTGATTGAAAATGTAAATATATTTTCAGATTGTTTTACTTTTACCTGATTATTATTTATTTTATAGTAGATAGATTTAAAAATTTTTTCTTAAAATTATATTTAAATTAATGTTAACAAGTTTATTATCTACCTCTCTTCAAATTTTAACATTTACACTTTACTGCTTTCCTCATGACCAAATGAATACAGTATCTTTCATAATCCTATGTATCATAATTTTGTATGGCTATATTCTTAGTTTCCTTCTCTTACAAGGAAACTAAGTATATATTCTGCAGAAAATCACTAGAACAGAAATAAAACCTTTATTTGCTAATAGCCAATTTATTTAATATGAAATTACATATCAACAACTGCAATGAATATAATAGGACAAATTTAGTTCTGATCACTGTGAACAGTTCATTAAACACAGTCAGGTGATTGCAGAGAAAGAATTTACATTAAATGTTGATTAACATTAACAGCTGAATGATTAACATTGGCTTGCTGCACCACAGTTTAAAATGCATTCAAAGATAACAATTGTTTATTTTGAATGCCAACTAAATAAACGTCAACAAAATGTTTGCTATTACATTCTATGCTGTTAATCCCCTCTTATAGGAGTTGTTCAACCAATCAGGTCATTCATTTATGATCTCAGAAAAATGGCAACTAGCAATGCGCTGAAAATATGTAATAATTTCTCCAAAGAAGAAAAGTGTTTTAATGGAAATTATAAAAAATTATCCTGCAGTTGAGTTGAAAGGTTATTATAACTACTCCAGCATTGAAAAATACTGCATAGGAGACAATCCAAACTGAACTTTTTTTCTTCATTGTTTCCTTGTCAATCAATTCACAACAGAACAATTGAAAGGCAAATAAAGTCTTAAATAAATATTTTACATTTGTACAATATTATTAGTTAATGTTTTTAACATTTAAATTATATCAAAGTATAATAATAATAATAATAATAGCACCTGGTATAGACAACATTCACAATTTCTGGTACAAAAAGTTTACATCACTGCACCAGGAACTAGCTAAACATCTAACACACATCATCATCAATCCACAAGACATGCCAAAATTTCTTACTCAGGGCATCACCTACATGAAACCTAAAAACAACAACACCACAGACCCCTCACAATACAGACCAATTACATGTCTTCCAACACTATACAAATTATTGACATCCTTTATCACAAACAAAATATACAAACACGTAGAAGAACACGACATTCTTACAGAACAACAAAAAGGTTGCCGTAGAAATCACAGGGGATGCAAAGAACAGTTACTCATAGATTCAGTCATTCTACGGCAAGCACACAAACAACACAGAAACATACACATGGCATATATAGACTACAGAAAAGCATTCGACAGTGTTCCACACAGTTGGCTGCTACATATTCTACACATGTACAAAATACATCCATCACTCATTGCATTCTTCGAAAACACTATGCAGCACTGGAGAACAACACTACATCTCAGGGTTAGTAACACTTCCATACAAACAAACGAAATATTCATTAGGCGAGGAATTTTTCAAGGAGATTCCTTGAGTCCTCTCTGGTTCTGCCTAGCCCTGAATCCATTATCCAACATGTTAAACAACACGCAATACGGCTACAATATCAGACACGAAAAAACAACACAGTTTACACTCTCACATCTCATGTACATGGACGACATAAAACTTTATGCATCCACACAAAAACAACTTCATCAACTCCTACAAATCACACATTCATACACTAAGGACATACAAATGGAGTTTGGCCTAGACAAATGCAAAAAACTTCACATAGAAAAAGGAATCCTGAAGAAAGAAGATTTTGCACTTGGAAATGGAGACGTTATTGAATCCATGGAAGAGGGCGAGTTCTACAAGTACTTAGGATTCCAACAGGCCAAACTAACAGAACATACACAAATAAAGCAACGATTAATTAAAGAATACCAAAGTAGGTTAAACGCTATACTTAGAACACAGTTAAATGCAAAACACACAGTTAAAGCAATAAACACATATGTCATCCCAGTACTCACATACTCTTTTGGAGTTATACATTGGACTCACACAGATCTCGAGCAACTCCAAAGGAAAACAAGAACAACACTTACTAAGCATAAACAACATCATCCTAAATCCGCCACAGAAAGATTAACCCTTCCACGTAAAGAAGGCGGACGTGGCCTGATTGACATAGTTAACCTTCACTACAAACAAATACAGTCACTGCGAGAGTTTTTCTACAAGAAACAAGAAACATCACAGTTACATAAAGCAGTAACTCTAGCAGACTCAAATAACACACCATTAAACTTACACTCACAACATACAGACATGACACAACATATAAAAAGCATAGACAACATTAAGCAATCATGGGCTCAAAAGGCTCTCCATGGCAGGCATCCTTACGACCTGGCCCAGGATTTTGTTGACAAAACTGCGTCAAACAGCTGGTTAGATCGGGGATGCCTCTTTGGGGAGACGGAAGGATTCATGATTGCCATACAGGATCAGGTCATAAATACTAAAAACTACAGAAAACACATACTCAAAGATACAACACTCACAAATGACACATGCAGAAAATGTCACATCATGCCAGAAACTATACAACACATCACTTCTGGTTGCAAGCTCTTGGCACAGACAGATTACTTACATAGACACAATCAAGTAGCAAATATAATACACCAAGAGCTTGCAAAGAAACACAAATTGGCAGACATCCACGAACCATACTACAAGTATATTCCACAGACAGTATTGGAAAATAACACGCACAAAATGTATTACGACAGAGCCATAATCACAGATAAAACAATTTACCACAACAGACCAGACATCACACTCATTGACAAACACAATAAAATCACATACATTATAGACATAGCCATTCCAAACACTCACAATGTACAAAACACATGCATTGAAAAAATTAGCAAGTACACAGAACTAGCCCAGGAAATAAGGCATCTGTGGAGGATGGAAGGGGTGCTTATTGTACCTATTGTTCTCTCCTGTACAGGTGTGATACCACACACACTACACAAAAGCCTGGGAACATTACAATTGAATAGAAATACATACATCACACTACAGAATGCCACTATATTGAATACATGCCATATTGTTAGGAAATTCCTGAATACGGACACTGACACACTTATTTAATTTTAGTTCTTGGTTGCTATGCCTTGACTCTGATCTGGCATAGTACACAGCCAAGGGTGTGAACCGAGTATAATCCACTAAACCCAACATAATAATAATAATTCAAAAGTTTAACAAAAAGAATATGGAAGTTATGATTATTATTTATATAAATTATATTTGACAGTAAAAATTACTTTTAAATAAGGCTTAATATTCTGTGCAAAGTATGTTATTTTAAGTCAAAGAATAAGGAAAATCAGCATGTTAATTATAATTTTAATTGGAAAAGATTTGTACTAGTGCATGATTGAATTATGATTTAGAACCCTATTCTGAATCATGACTTCACATCCTACTAATCTCTACTTCTATGTTTTACAATTAATAAAAAAAGTATATTGTATGATCCTCCTATATTATAGGTTGTTGAAGATGTTTAAAATAGAAGCAGATCACAACTGACATGCTGCACATTTAAAGGGGAGACCAGCATCATCATATAGCCAGACAGGTGGTTCTGTGAAAATGTGTTTGTGAAACATATGATAAGATGACAAAAGTAATAATGATCAAATTGTTTTATTAGTTGAATGAGTTGACAGAGAACGAAATGTTCATCACAGAGACAATCATATATAGATATATTTACATCTCCTCTCACGTTCAAACTTCCCGCGAGAAATTTAATATATACATATAATCCTGATTTAAACTAAGATAATTATAATTAAACTTAAACCTAATGCTGTTACTACTAGAATGAAGAAAGAAAGGATAGTTAGGAAATCTACCGGTAGCTAGATTTGTGGGTCCTGAACTGGGTGAATATCGACATTTATCACTTTGTGCACAGTGAATGTTCAATCTGTTAGCAATTATTAATAAACATGTGCCAAGACAATTCTTTGAACCTCTGGAACTGCAATCTCAATTATGTTTCTTGTCTTTGTTCCTACTTGGTCTATGCTGACTGCCCTCATCCTTATATCTTGTCCTCTGGTCACTCTCGCTTGATCTTTCTCCTCAGTGGCAAACCCAAAAAGGTGTCTTTTCTCCTTACCTTGTGTCTATCTATAGCTTTGGGCAGGACCCCCTTCCTGTTCCTTTGTAAAACGGCCAATCAGGACCCACGAATAGTACAGCTCCTGTCATGTGACAGGAAAGGGTTAAAAACAGAAGGAAGAAGAATTATAGGAAAGAAGAAAGTTCTTATTCTGTATACACTACAATTATATACAACAAAATGGTGGACAGCCACAGTTCTATCTGTTTTGAGTACAGTAATAGTATTGAACCATTACTCAATCCAGATGATCTGCCATCATCATTTATCATTACAAGTGAAAATAATAATGAATTATTTATAGCTACAAATTAAATAATGCTCTAGTTCAGATTATTTTTCTGTAGTAATAAGTGATGTAGATGTTAGAAAAAATGTGAAGTGGCAAAGTGGCAGATGATCTACCTCCATCCAAAAGATGGTAAATAATAATCAGATAAAATATAAAATATTAATAAATAAATATATATATATATATA